CACATGCAGCTAGTGGCTATCTGATTAGTGCAGGTTTAAAGGATACTAGGAGAGGCTAAGGTGTATCTATAAACACAGCATAGGGCACGTAAGAAACAGGAACTAATGTTTACTTAGGAATTGAGTTTCTTGTTTGGCATGCATTATCTCATTTAATGCCTACAGCAACCTTATAGGCACATATGCAGATATGGGCTCAGTTTCACCTTTGAGACTCAGAGAGGGTAAGCAACTCACCCACATTCACACAGCTAGGGAGTGGCAGAATCTAGACTTTGGACACAGATTTGTCTCTCTCCAACACTCAGGTCTTTCCTATAGCTTAAGAAGTTAATGGGGGAGTTCTAAGAAATTAGAGTGTACAACTTGATGATGAGAAGGTGGTTTTGAGGGCTACTGAAAGGTGTTGATGTCCAAATCATAAAGACCAATCAGAGAATGTCTGTGGACATACTTGGATTGCCCCTTAGATGGTTTTGAGGAGAGAAGTTTTGGTTTACCAGGTACGTGCCTGTGGCCCAGGGCAAAAGATGGGTCTCTCTTTAGGGAAAAAAGAAAATAAGAGGAAAACAGCTGGAAGCGAGGCAGTGGATGGTGATAGAACAGAGAAGAAAGTTGACTGGAATGGTTGAAACTAAATTCAAATTCCTGCGAAATTCTTCAACTTGAAAATTGCAAGGAAAACAAAAGAGATGCAGGATCTGTAGATGAAAAGTATCTTCAGAGACATATCAACCAATAGCAGTGTGTGGACCTTATTTGGATACCAATTTTAAAAAGCAAGCATTGAAAATACATCATTAGTGCAATAATTGAAAATTTGATCAGTGACTGAATATTTGTGACTGAATATTTGATGATATTAAGAAATTACAGTTAATTTTAAAGTATGACAATGGTATTGTGATGCTTAAAAACAAAGCCCTTATCTTTTAAGATGCAGACTAAAATGAAATATGATGTACGAGATTTACTTCAAAATAATACTTATTGATGTAAACCTATGCAAGGAACTGAGAAGTGTGACAGCAGTGTGACAGCTGGTGTAGTCAGGGTGGACAGTCTCCTGGGCTCCCTTTATTATTTATTTATTTATTTATTTATTTTGAGACAGAGTCTCACTCTGTTGCCCAGGCTGCAGTGCAGTGGCATGATCTCGGCTCACTGCAACCTCCACTTCCCAGGTCCCGAGTAGCTGGGATTACAGGCACCTGCCACCATGCACAGCTAATTTTTTTGTATTTTTAGTAGAGACGGAGTTTCACCATGTTGGCCAGGCTGGTCTTGAACTCCTGACCTCAAGTGATCTGCCTGCCTCGGCCTCCCAAAGTGCTGGGATTACAGGCACCCACCACCAGGCCTGGCTAATTTTTGTGTTTTTAGTAGAGATGGGGTTTCGCCACGTTGGGCCAGGCTGGTCTTGACCTCTTGACCTCAGGTGATCCGCCTGGGCTTCCCTTTAAATGGGTGCAGTGCAGCAGAGTGCATGGGCAAGAGGAAGTGCCAGAAACAGGAAGTAGGTAAGGTTATTGGCATTAGGATTGTTAGGGGAATAAATACCTTGGTATCTATTGGAGAGCTGTGACAACTGACCCAAGACAGAAACGGATGGAATCTGGCCTGGGAACCTTTTATAAGGATCCTTGATGGGAGCAGTTGTTTATTATGATTGGCCTTAGTTTGCCTCCTCTTCTAGAACACATTACTCTGGGAATCCCTCTGTGGTAGATAATGCAAGGTAATGCTGCCTTCGGTGTAGGTTGCATCTACTAAACATTCTGATTTGGTGACATTTAAAAGAATGAGGCTTCACAGTCAGTTATTCCTCCCATCCTATCAGAACAATGTGCTCTCTGAAAACATGGTGTGCTCCAGAGAACACAATGAGCATCCTTGGCCACATGGGAATGAGAAGTGGGTCTGGGAAGGTGGTCCAAGACTACAGCTGGACAAGAAACAGCTGATGGCCAGCTTGCCAATTACCTCAGCAGAATGCATGGAGTAGTTGGGTGGCAATTTTTCCAAGGCAACTGGGAGACAGTAGGATCCAGTTTGAAGACGTTCATTTAAGAGAATTGGCAGCCACTGAAACAGATGATGTAAATTATAACATGGTATTTATTACAGCATATAATTCTGGCAATTTATCTAGCTCGCAATAATCAAATGCAACTAAACAATGATTAGATATTGACCAGTACTCTTTTTGGCAGTAATTTCTGTCCAGTTCTTTGCATTTTAAATCTCCGAGAGCTCCTGAAATGGTAATATTGATGATTTATTGCTTTCGGAGCTAAAGCAGTAGCATTTTTCTCTGTAGCCAATGTTTGTGTGTGTCTGAACAACATCAATGTTTATTTTACCTGTTATATTTTTTAAGGAAAAAATTGTTTCTTCTTGGGGGCAAAGCTAGTTCTATATGTGAAGCATGGATATTAAATTTGGAAATAGTGAACACTGCAACGCTTTTTAAAAAACAAATGAGTATTCTTTCAACATCTGTCACCCACTAGCTTTCCATTCCTGAAATTTGACATTTGCTAAGGCAAATAATTTCTGCCTCTTGCTATGATGTGGCTTAGCATGTTTTGCTACTTCTGACACGAAAAAATCAAGTGAACAGAATTTGGTTGTTTATCTCTGCAGGGACCTCAGATGCACCAACAACTGCAGTGTGAGTCAGCAGGTTGGAAACAACTCACTGAATATCCCAGGAGAGTTTCCACGGAGGCTCCTTGCTTCTGCTGACAGCTGATATGGTAAAAGGTGAACAGGAGGTGGTGATTTACTGTGAGCTTAGCGGGGAGCTTAATTTTCACTTCTTCATAGAAGTCAGGAGACCTGTTTCAAAAGCACATTATACACAAATAACTTTTATCAAGAATGATGACTTCTCTGATTGTAAAACGCCACAGCCCCTTTGCTCCTCAGAATTTGCCTGGTGTTTTGCTTCTCATTTTACATTACTCTGCTCTGAAGTTGGAAGTCCCTGAGACCAAGCTTATGTTATTAGATATACTTCCCTTACATAAAACTGTTCATGAACTAAAGGCTTTGTCAGGAAAAAACAAAAACAAACAAACAAACAAAAACTCCCCCACACACAATGGAAAATTCCAACAACTTATTTTGAAGAAAGGATGAGGTCTGGACTCCTGCTGTGACCTCCTTTTCCATCTCTACCCAAGGAACAGAGTCTAGCACCTGGCTGCACTCATCAAAGAGTAGAAGCAAATGAATGAGGCAGGAGGAAAAAGGAACCTGATTTAACTGAATTATGAAGCCCTAGATGCTTACGAGGGTTTCATGTACATTACCTCACTTAATCCTCATCCCAACCCCAGAACATGCTTAAATGAAGGACTTAAATAGGCCCAGGTTATCAAATCCAATTCTGTCCGACACTGTGCAGATGTCCCTCCCTTCCCTGTGGAACATGAATAACAGTGTAGGCATTATCTCATGACTCCATTTGCCAGTGGAATAATGAGTGTTCCATTTCTCCTTTGGTCAGCCTAGGCAGGCAGTGGGGCAGGTGTCAAGTGGAGCGGACAGGGACACAGGGCAAGTGGGGCTGGACTGTGCTTCTGGTCCCCTCCACTGTCTCAAAGCAAGTTAGGAAATGTGTTTCCTTAATTAACGTAATACAGCCTCTTTGCATCATACTAGAATAGAAGCTTCCAGAAAAGTCAAAACTATATTGGATTCTTGAAGACACGTTCTTCTCTCAGTCTTGGTTAATGGCATGGATTTCCTTTGCCCCTCAGTTCCTGAATTATACAAATAGTTACGAGGAACCACCCAGGGGACTTGGAAAAACCAGGAGATGATGAAAGCATCTTGGCGTATATTGAGAATGCTGAAATAGACTTACTTATTATGGTATGTAACGGCTGTGTACACTTCCTGCAGAAATTCAGGCCCGCTGGACTTTCCAAAGATGACCTGTTCACCAGTATAGAAAGGATCAAATTATCAGTAACATTTGGGTACATCAAATTGACTATCATCAGGCCAACAGGATGTTCTGGTATCAAAGAGCTGCATTTTGTACAATGAAGAGTGCTGGGTTGGCCAGGAGCAGTGGCTCACACCTGCAATCTCAGCACTCTGGGAGGTCGGCGTGGGAGAATGGCTTGAGCCCAGGAGTTGGAGACCAGCCTGGCAACATGGCGAAGCCTCATCTCAAAAAAAAAAAAAAATACAAAATTTAGCCAGGCATGGTGGCACATGCATATAGTCCCCGCTACTCGGGGGGCTGAGGCAGGAGGATTGCTTGAGCCTAGGAGGCAGAGGTTGCAGTAAGCTGAGATTGCACCATTGCACTCCAGCCTGGGCAACAGAGTGAGATCCTGTCTCAAAAAGAAAAAAAAAAAGAAGTGCTGGGTCTACAACTGGCCCGAGCACACAGTGCAGAGGAACTAGATATGAAGGGTGAAACGAGGTTCCAAGGGGCTATATTAGTGACCAAGGGCCACAGGTTTGTGAGATTATAAAACTAGTACTCTCTCCACTCTGCCTCACTGCCTAGAGGTCTATCCAACAGGCCAAAGTTACATACTTTCGCCTTGAGTGAGAAATCCCTGGTCCAGGTTCTTCTCTCTCCAAACATATAGACCTAGTCACTTAGGTGATTTGAATCTCCACTGCCTTATCCACATGTGTGCCATTTAGAAAAAGATACCTCCTTGGGCCTGAAGCAGCATTTAGGATGCATTACGAACAAGTGCACTTACCTTTGTGCAGAGAGAAAAGCTCTTTCCTCTAGATGCAGTAATCCCAACACCAGAACCCAGGGTTCAGTGAATGAAGAACAGACTGGATTTTAGCCCACAGTCACCCTTGGCTGGGCATCCTGGCTGCCACAGGATCTGCACAAGCATACTGGGTACTCCTGGCAGCGTCATGCCAGGGGTCTGAGCAGAGAGGACTAAGAGGACCTCACCACTGTCTCAAGCACCTTGCATTGGGAAGACAGGTGGGACATTAGGAGAAAGGTTTTTTCTTTTTTTTTTGAGACGGAGTCTCGCTGTGTCTCCCAGGCTGGAGTGCAGTGGCGCGATCTCGGCTCACTGCAAACTCCGCCTCCAGGGTTTACGCCATTCTCTGCCTCAGCCTCCCGAGTAGCTGGGACTACAGGCGCCCGCCACCTCCCCCGGCTAGTTTTTTGTATTTTTAGTAGAGACGGGGTTTCACCATGTTAGCCAGGATAGTCTCGATCTCCTGACCTCGTGATCCGCCCGCCTTGGCCTCCCAAAGTGCTGGGATTACAGGCTTGAGCCACCACGCCTGGCCGGTTTTTTCTTTTTTCTTTTTCTTTTTCTTTTTTAGAAAGGCATATTAACTGAGTGCGGTGGCTCACGCCTATAATCCCAGCACTTTAGGAGGCCGAGGCGTGTGGATCAGCTGAGGTCAGGAGTATGAGACCACCCTGGCCAACATGGTGAAACCCCATCTCTACTAAAAATACAAAATTAGCTGGGTGTGGTGGCACGTGTCTGTAATCCCAGCTACTTGGAAGGCTGAGGCAGGAGAATCGCTTGAACTTGGGAGGCGGAGGTTGCAGCCATTGCACTCCAGCCTGGGCAAAAAGAGTGAAACTCCGTCTCAAAAAAAAAGAAAAAAAGAAAGAAAGTTATATTAACTGAATTCTATGACTGACGGGAAATAGTAATAGCTAACCACTATCTCACTTAGTAGGAGATGGTTTAAAAAGTATAAATTCTGGTATTTTAAGTTCCTTGGAGCTCACTCCATTTACATACACATATATATACATATATATATATAATTTGATTTATATTTTGCCTCAGGACAAAGATCCACTCCTAGATGGTGTGGAGGTGGCGTGTGTTTATAATTACTAGGCAGTACTTTGTATTTATTAGCACTGTGGTCGGAGGCTTGGGTAAGTGTGTAACACAGTGTGCGTACAACACAGTGTGTACAGTGTGTGCACGGAAGACACTGAGCAAACATAGTGCACGTGTTGAGCCATCTCTTTACTTTGTATGCCTTTAGAGTGGGGTAGTCCTATGGGCGGTATGGAAAGACTTTATGATTTTTTTTAATCCTCTAAAATGATCTGTATGTTCCAAGTTCACTACAGAGTAAGTTGAGAAAGAGATTGTCAGGTAAGACTGACCCTATTTCCCCATCGATATCCTGGGCACAGAAGCCCTTGCACATGCTGAGCAGTGTTGGCCTGCAATAGACGGACTCTGTACACTGATGAGTCCTGGACTTGGTTCCTGTGAATTGACAGGGGTGTGCGGCCCACGCTGATTTGAGGCAAATGTTCATTTCCCTCCTTACCGGCATCGCGCTGCTGGCATCTTCTCCACACATAAACTGGATCTTTATTGTAATGTTCCGGGCTGATGCTAGTTTGTTAACAAAGTTCAGCCTCTGTGGGTAGACATAGAGAAGATTTCTGGAAAAGAAGAGATACAGAATCAATGAAAAGGGTCTAGAATTTATTTTAACTAAGTTCTTCAGTGAATGCCGAGACTTCCATTCATGGGGTGCTTTTTCTAAAGAAGCTTTTCCTCTAATAAGTGAATTATCATTGGAGGGAGTGAATTACTTGATTCTTCCTCTTCAGCTACAGTCATCTGAAAATAACCTCCATCGCTCTCTGTTTCGCTACAAGTAAAGACGTATCTGCTGCAGCTTAGAAAGTCTTAATGTCTTGGAATGTGGAAATCTGCCTAGAGGTAATTGTATCTCTGATACACACATAAAGAAAGCAAAAAAGGTCCAGCTCATTTTAAATAAAACTCATGGCCATAGATGATGGCCTAATGTTATTCTTCTCTTTTTTCCTTCCTAATCTTTATGTAGCAGTTTCCTTTTCTTACTGGCACGGCACTTGTATTGGCTTAGCTTTCTGTTCTTATTTAAGATGACAGCTCAAACCTCCAATTACTGTATAACAACAACAATATGAATAATATATCCATCCATTTGACAACTATAGGACAGGCACTAGGCTACCCAGTGCCTGGGTAACTTGCATATATTTTTCTTTCTATTTGCATTATTAGTAGTAGGTTCCACTAAAATGTAAGTTCCACAAGGCCAGGGGTTTTTCTCTGATGTTTCTGATTAACTGATGTATCTCCAACAGCTAGAATAGTGCCTGGGACATAGTAGTACTAAGTAACTATTTGTTGAATGAAGGAATGAGTGTATACATAACTGATGAAGTATATTCCTGGCTTGAAGAAACAATAATGATACTAACATTTAAACAGGCCTTATCCTGAGTCAGGCCAATGTTCCAAATACTTCATATTTATTAATTTGTTTAATTCTCATAGCTATCCTATAGGTAGGTACTATTATCATTGTCATCATCCCCATGTCACAAGTGAGGAACAAACGAGATACAGAGATGTTAGGTAAGACACCCCCTATTATATAACTAAATAGCAGAGCTGGGAATTGAACCCAGACTGTCTAGTTCCAGAGTCATGCTCGTAACCACTGTATTCTCTCAGATAAGAGCCCTGATAAGCATGGCCTTTTCACACTGTGCTATCCTGACATCTCTCAGGGACAAGTTTGCCTTAATTGTCTAGGTATTAACAGTGGCATGTCAACCTGCATTTCCCAGCCCATCTCACAGAGCCTTAGTGTTCCGCAAAGTGTTAACAAGTGTGTGGGGAAGGTGGGGGGTTAAGCAAAAGTGGTTGGGAAAGACCAGGGCGAAGCGAGATAAACAGGTTACTATGCACTGAGAATGCCTTAGAAGGAGAAAGACTCTTCTTTCCCCAAATGTTTTTACCTCAGAACTCCTTCCATTTATTTATCTTTTCATGGCACATTTTATGAATTTAACATTCTGAGAAATTACCTGGGGGAAACGTTGAGATAAACTTACTTAGTTACAGAAGAACATCCCACATCAAGGAAAGAAAAGTTAGGGCACAGGGATTCTCTACTCAAATTTCTTGCAAAATAGTGAATGCTCTCAGGTATTCGAGAGGAAAAATGATAATTGGAACAATCAAGAACACACAGGAGCCGTTACATTGGATGTGCAAGTTCAAAGACCGTGGAGGCAAATAAATAGCATTCCTAGGTCTTATTTTACCCCCATCTCTCTATTTTGGGTGACTCCCCGGAGGCAGAATAGGGGTGGCCTGGTGCTGGGAGCGAGTCTGAGCTGCTGTACCCTGTGACTTTCTGGGTTGATATATGACAATACTCAATGAGCTTCAAATACCAGTGAGGTGTAGATGGTCTTCCCAGAAAAGTAGACGACAGGCCATGTCACACTAAAGGGATTAGCATAGAATTCTGGGGTGCTCAGGCCAGGAGGCTCCTAGACTGAGCCCTAACTTTTAAAGATGAGACACATGATGAATGAGCCACAGAGCAGGCAGAGATCCAGTACAGTGCTGTTTCTACTCAACCACTGGCTGCCTTAGCAGCACTTCCCAAATCTTACTCTGTCTAAACTGAGGCAGCCTAAAACCCTGATGCAGGTGGATACGACTGAGCCGCTGATGCTGTCAGGAGTGGACGTGGATACAGTAAATGATGATGGCAGTTTACAGTTGGGGTGCAGGGATGTGTGTGGGGTGCAGACCCCTCTCTGCTTACTGTTCACTTCTGTTCATCTCCACTGCCACCAATCAAAAAAGCAGAGCTAATGTCTGTGGAGCGGTCATATCAGAGAGGGGTAAAAGGTGTTCCCTCTGGAGGCAGAGAGCTGAGATTCGAATTCTGCTTTTGCTTCTGTTAGCTGCATGGCCTTTGGCAAGTTACTTAGCTTTTCCAAAGCTTATCCAAAGCATAATTGTGCCGACCTCAAAGGGCTGTGGTGAGCATTAATGAGCAACAACTGAAACCTAGAAGACTTCTTTGGAAAAAAAAAAAAAAGCCTTCTCTGAACAGATAAGTTTTATGACTAGCAGTAGACTTCTATTATCGTCATTACTATAATAGAAGCATGGCATATGCTTCTAAACGCATGATTTACGACACATGATTTACTTCTGTACCTTATCAAGTACAAAGTCTGTAAACGTATAAATGTGAACATTGAAAACATCCTGCAGTTACATGGCCCTCTAAAAACATAAATGATAGTTATTATGATAATTATTTCCTCCACACGGCTAGCAAGTCAGACCCACACTCCAACCTACCTTGTCCCTGTCTCTCCACTCCGAACCACCCTCATTCTCACCTGGACCCCTGCAACGCCTTCTCAATAGATCTTGGCTTCTACACTTGCCTCTTACAATGTTCTTCATATATTGGTCAGAAGGATCTTTCAAAAATGTAAAATAAATTATGTCAGGCCCCTACAAGGGTTTCCCAAACTTTTTATCACGGGTCCTACATGACCTTGCCCTTGGCAATGGCTCTGACCTTATCTCTCACCATTCTCCCATGCTGGCCTTTTTTCAAAACCTAGAACATTCCAAATTTCTTCCTTCCTTCATGCCTCTGTTCCCCAGAGTGCTTCTCCATTCACTAAATGACTGGTTCTTCTCATCTTTGGAGTTAGCTCATATGTCATATCTTCTGAGGTCTTCCCTACCATTCTATTTAATTGGTCCATTCCACTTTCACATACACACTCCCTCTTTCATAATCATATGATTATCATATTCAGAGATGATTATGAAAGTCATGTGTGCCCATTTTTTTTAACCTTGCATAACTTAGAAGTACATAAAAGTATAAAGAAAAGCATAGCAACCACCCACTATACCACTGCACTGAGGAGGATCACTGTTAAGACTTTAACACATTTCCATTTAGCCTTTTCCCCTCTACACATGAAACTTTTTTTTTTTTTTCCTATTTTTGAGACAGGACAGGATCTCACTCTGTTGTCCAGGCTGGAGTGCAGTGGTGTGATCACGGTTTACTGCAGCCTTGACCTCCTGGGCTCCAGTGATCCTCCAGCCTCAGCCGCCCAAGTAGCTACAATAGTAGGCATGCATCAGGACACCTGGGTAATTTTTAAATTTTTTGTAGAGACAGGGTCTCACTATGGTGCCCAGGCTGGTCTTGAGCTCCTGGCCTTCAGTGATACTCCTGCCTTGGCCTCCCACAGTACTGGAATTATAGGCGTAAGTCACTATGCCCGGCCACATTAAACATTTTTGTCATACTGTATGTACAAAGTTTTATCTTTTCTTATGCCACCAAATATTGTTCAGTTATGACCATTTCCCCAATGTGACTGTTTTCAATAAACATGACTTTAATGGGTGCATATCATTGCATGTTGTGAATATGCCATAATTTACACTGGTCTCCTCTAAAAATAAGTGTTTAGGTTATTTCCTTGTTTCAGTTAGAAAGCTGTGGTGAACACTTGATATATCTTGCCCCTCTACAGTGCAGCATACTTTTGGAAGAATCCCTTTATATTCTGTAATGCTTAGCTTCATCATCTTTGAATTAATTAAAAGACGCCAATCAACCTTTCTTGAATGCTGTGTTTGAAGGCATAATGAGCCAAAGTTTGTGAAGGTGCTTTGAAGTAGCTGGATGAAAGGGACTGTGTAAATCCTAACAGTAGTAGCCCTGCCAGACTGCTCTCACCACACTCGTCTCTTACATTCCAATACCAGGGCACCGCCACCCATTCCCGTGCACCCCCACCACTGCTCAGCAATTTTGCCCATTGCTTCCAAAGGGGTTGCTCACCCCTGTATCCGAACATCACCACCACAGATATTCAGTGTTATCAAGTACAAAGTCTGTAAACGTATAAATGTGAACATTGAAAACATCCTGCAGTTACATGGCCCTCTAAAAACATAAATGATAGTTATTATGATAATTATTTCCTCCACACGGCTAGCAAGTCAGACCCACACTCCAACCTACCTTGTCCCTGTCTCTCCACTCCGAACCACCCTCATTCTCACCTGGACCCCTGCAACGCCTTCTCAATAGATCTTGGCTTCTACACTTGCCTCTTACAATGTTCTTCATATATTGGTCAGAAGGATCTTTCAAAAATGTAAAATAAATTATGTCAGGCCCCTACAAGGGTTTCCCAAACTTTTTATCACGGGTCCTACATGACCTTGCCCTTGGCAATGGCTCTGACCTTATCTCTCACCATTCTCCCATGCTGGCCTTTTTTCAAAACCTAGAACATTCCAAATTTCTTCCTTCCTTCATGCCTCTGTTCCCCAGAGTGCTTCTCCATTCACTAAATGACTGGTTCTTCTCATCTTTGGAGTTAGCTCATATGTCATATCTTCTGAGGTCTTCCCTACCATTCTATTTAATTGGTCCATTCCACTTTCACATACACACTCCCTCTTTCATAATCATATGATTATCATATTCAGAGATGATTATGAAAGTCATGTGTGCCCATTTTTTTTAACCTTGCACTGCATGGCCTTTGGCAAGTTACTTAGCTTTTCCAAAGCTTATCCAAAGCATAAT